AAGGCACGTCCCAAATGTATGTCTCTTATGAAAGGCACGTCCCAAATGTATGTCTCTTATGAAAGGCACGTCCCAAATGTATGTCTCTTATGAAAGGCACGTCCCAAATGTATGTCTCTTATGAAAGGCACGTCCCAAATGTATGTCTCTTATGAAAGGCACGTCCCAAATGAAACAAAAATGTGACCCTCGTAAAATGCATGTCGCACGTGATACTTGTTACTCGTGAAATGTACGTCTCTCCTGAAATGTATGTTGCTCCTGAAATCTATGTCCCTCCTGAAAAATATGTCCCTGCTGAAATGTATGCCTCCATGAAATCTATGTCCTTCATGTAAGTATATCCCTTCTGGAATGTGTATCAATCCAGAAATCTATGTCCATCCAAAAAATCTCTATACCGATTGAAATCTGAATTCGTTTATCCTCATTCATATAATGTAAACCATGAATCTTTCCTGCAGGTGACCTGTACCGACTCGGGCACGCAAGAGAACTGATCGCAAACAAATTTTTTATCACAGAGGACCGTGTCGTCATATCCTGTCTGGAAGAGAAATTGTTCAACGATACAAGAGATGAGTTGCTGGGCTTGAAACAGTTTGATGAGTTTTACTATAGAAATCAGACATTTGTCAGGGATCAAATCATCTAGGACAGTGGGTCTCAAAATGGTGAACAAAGTTTGTCAGGGATCGGATAATCTAGTACAAGGGTCTCAAATAGAGAAAACAGCTTTGACAGGGATCAGATTATCTAGGACAGTGGGTCTAAAATAGTGAAAAAAGCTTTGTCAGGGATCAGATAATCTAGAACATCGGGTATCAAATAGTGAACATAGCTTTGTTAGAGGTCGGATAATCTAGGACACTATGTCTGAAATAGAGAATATAGCGTTGTTACAGGTCAGATAATCTTGGACTTTGGGTCTCAAGTAGTGACATTATATTTTTTAAACGTCAGATGATCTAGGAAATTTGATCCGAAGTAGAAATCAGAGCTATTTAAGTTTAAGTAAAAAGATACCTTAGGCAATGGGTCTCAAAAAGAAAACATAACTATTTAAGGGGTTATATATCGACGACAAAGGATCTCTAATGTTAAACATGTGGCTCATAGCATCTAAGCTAATAATCAAATGGAAATGTTGTCTCATGTGTGTTTTAAATTGTTCAGTGAACCACTTTCATGATGGCTTAATCAACGTAAGGTGACGTAAAGATATGCGTCTACGTTGTTCAGTCAGAAAAGACTGCGTCCTGTATGACGTAACGTGTCCTCGCTGTCATTCTGTATTCCTACGTGACACTGACAAGACATTTTAACTTTGTATTTCTGGCCTATAGTCGATTCAGATGAGAACATTGCTTGACGGACTTTGAGATTTCGAGTTCCGAGACCCCCCGAGACTTATCAACTGATCGACTCAAGACTTCAGCTACATGTTATGCTTAGTCTCTAGGGGGAATTTTTCTGCAAGTAGATATCAATAAATCGGATTTAATTGTATTCGTCTTTATTGAAGTTAAAACGTTAAAGATAGTTTTAGCAGCGCAGCGACTGAAATTACTCAACTAGACAAACTCTTTAAACAGACGTATTACTCTACGTCATTATTTGTGTTAGTGAAGTTATGTTTAGTATTTCAGAGGTTCTACATTCGTTTTGGGTGTGTTTTTGTTTGTTTCTTATGACTGCACATGAATAAACATTTTGAAAAATAATCTCCTTAGTTTTAAATAAAAATTCTTCCTTTGAAAAATTTAAAGAAGTTCTAATGTAAATTTGTGTTTTCTGTTTCTTTCTAATGCACGATTAAATCGTAGTTAACGTAATCTCAAGAGCTAGAACCGATACGGTAATACTAGTGCCAGCTTAGGAATCACCTGTTCAAATATACTAAAAAACAAGTCTAACATTCAGGCACCAAAATGTGTGTTGATCAAGTAATGAATACTTTCAACACCAATGCGATTGTTCTAATACTGCTGCAAAGCAACTACTATCATTTACACTAAGATTACACAGGGGGCTATAGAGTGAAGCGTTTCTAATTTATAAATATATGTCCAGTTTTCATTTCGGGGGCTGTAAGAGTCGGAATCTGAAATATTGTACAGAGGGAAACTGAAATATTTAACAGTTGGAACTGAAATATTGAAGAGTTAGTTCAAAAATTAAATATTGAAGAGATGGAAACTGAAATATTGAAGAGTTCAAAAGTTAAATATTAAAGAGATGGAAACTGGACAAGAGACAAGGTGTTTCGTAAGCCCTCCACTCTGTCGAAACCTTGAATTGACATAACTGTGTGTTTTTTTAAGTGTAACTTAACGAGTGCATGAAACTCTCGAAATGAAACCCAACAACCGAAGAGTCTGAGCCTAAGTGGAAACGTTGGGGCTGATATCAGATCTCGGTGAGACTTTCGTCGTGACCAAACATTATTCAACACCCACCTCCTTAAAAAGCCTCAATACCAAACAGGAATCCACCGGATGCCGTAGTGCCCGAAGCAGTTTCTGTCCTAATTTCCT